ACCATTTTTCTAGAGACAGTTTTTCTATATACAAACTAAATATCAAAATTCCAAGTCAACTGTTCAAACGACTACGTCTAATATGAAGGGTGAAAAAAAAAAAGGGAAGAAAGACGTTTCTAATGTTGGTGTTGGCAAAACGATAAACACTTATATAATTTGGACAAGTATATACTATAATAAAATAGAAATATGGAATTAGATAGGTTATTCACGCAACATCCTCCTCCTCGGTTCTTGTCCTAGTGTTAGGTGTCCTGGTAGACTGGACCAGACGCAGCAAGTATCTGGTGGGCTTTTGGCCTTCGTCAATATAATAATACCCATACAAATAGTTAAAATATGGGAATGGGCTGGTGGGCGGTGGCCATTCTACTTTGGCAAAACCTCCTCTTAAGCTTTTAAATTCACCTTAAATTAATATATGATTTTTTTTTTTATGTTAGTTGCACAATAAGAGACAATTTCTTTTATTTCACTTCATTTACATGCTATATAATTCAAATGCAGGATCTCTTACTTTTAACAAAAAAAAATTACTATTGAGTTTTTTAAGTCGTTGGCAATATATATGAATTTTTAAACTAAAAATAATGTAAATAAGTTATTAAATTCTTCAAATAATATAAATTAACCTTCAAACTCTTTAAAGAATGTAAATCAACCCCATTATTAACAATTAAAAGCATATGGCCTCGCACTTGGCCCTTGTGGCCCAATGGTTAGTATCATTGAAAAAGTAGATATGCTTTTCTCCTAAGTGAGTTTCAAACCCGTCTCATGACAAAAAATTCAAAAAAAAAAAAAAGAAGCATACGACCTCACTACTTTTTTTTAATTTAATGAAATTTTTATTATTCGAAGGATGTTTTGATTTATGTCGATATTTTTATAAAAAAGAAAAAGATCAAATAGAAGAAACAAAAAAAGATGTGAAGTTATATGCATTCAGTTATAAATAATAAAAATCATATTTGAATCAGATTTTTTATCTAATAATTTGTTCTTAAATTTTAATATTTAATTTTAATTGATCGATAATTTTACTATCATCAACAATTTAAAAAAAAATTCTCCATCCCTCAAATTTTTCTATGTTCATATAATAATAATAATGACTTATTTATATCTTTTAAAAGATTTAGAAGTTAATTTACTTCATTCAAAAATTTTAAAATTCTATTTCCACCGTTTTTAACCAGGGACTCACGTCTTAATATGGGAGAAACCTGTCGTTTAAGAGAGGGGTTTTAGGCTTTTAGCTTCTATTTTTCTCATTTGTTTAAAAATAAAATAAAATAAAATAAAATAATATATATATTTTTTAAATGCTGCATTATTGCGATTTCTCTTAACATTTCGGTCACCGTCATTTCGATGAAAACTGTCTGGAGAAGGTAGGTATTACCAATTCCACCTGCAAATTTGGTACGCAATTATGGTTTTTATTATCGTCGATTTCCTTCATTTCTCTTTCGATTGCTTCAATTCCACTGCTCTTGTCTCCTTTTCCGTCTCCTCGATTTAGGGTTTGTTTTTTTCTTGCTACATTGGTTTGCATATGTATGTTGAGAAGCTTCTTCTTTTCTGTGGGGTAAGAAACGGGTTTTCCCTGTAGATTACGGATTCTTAGTTTTATGAGTGCCTGTTATGTCATTTTCTTCTCTATGGAGCTATGGATATCATTTGATAATTAGGGTTTCATATTTGTGTATTCGGCGAAGTTTTGCTTCGGGTCTTATTTTGTTCTTTAGACTAGATCCTTGGTTCAGTAGGAACGTTTAAAGTTAAGGGTACCTATTTATTTATTAATTTATGATTTTCTCCTCTTCGGATTGGGTTAAAATAAATCAGCTACTGTCTATATATGTTTTAGTTTTAAAGAAGCCTTACTGCCCTTTAGCATGTGTATATCTACCTGTGAAATTTGGAGTTGTTTATTGGCGTTTTGTGTCTTTATACTGTCAACAACTTGCTCGAATAATGTATGAATATGCCGTGCTAGATTTTAGACCTGGCATAGATGCATAGATTTCTCATCAGTTTGAATCTTTATTTTGTTTTTTGTTTTATTATTTTTCACAGGGAATACATCCGCAAATAGATTGTAATTGATTTCAGGGGTGGATAAAACTCTGCTTTCAATTATTATTTGTGACCCGAGAATGTCTTATGAAGAAGTTTTGAAGGCTGTTTTTCCTTTACTTGATGCCAAGGATCTTGTATCGTGTATGTTGGTTTGTAAGCAATGGAGAGACATAGCCAGAGATGATTACTTTTGGAAATGCCTCTGTGCCAAGAGATGGCCTTCTGTTTGTAAGCGACCCAACCCTCCTACAATAACCTACCACAAGCTATACCAGAGCTTTTATAGAAGGCAGCATCGCCAAACTCTTCTTCCTCCTAGACTTTCCTTTGATGTTTTGGAATTCTACATTGACATTTGGGCTGAAGATAATTTGATATTCTCCAATGTGGTTCCTGGCCCCATCCTCCAAGCTGGAATTAAGATCCCACCAACTGGAATATGCAACATGCTTAGATTTCATCTGGAGAGTCCTGAGTATAAGATGACCTTACCTGTTGAGCCAAAGTTCATTGTTCCTTTGACCCATGGTGTTAGTGTTTCAGTGCTTGTGGGGCGGAAGGATTCCAATAAAGTTGCTTGCATAATTAACAAATCTCTGTTTGATTACATAGATCGAACAGCATATAGGGCGCTGGCATTTGACTACCTTGACTTCTCTCCGGACTACCCATTCATTTCAGGAATTCGAGCATGGATTTCTTTGCTTTTCATGGAAGAAGGCAATGATGGTTTAATTGAAGTTTTTGGAATTGAAATGGATTTCTGTGATGTTGCTGATTCTAAAGATGCAGTTTTATGGCTATTAGACATGCTTGATTGGAAATGAGTAGAAACCCATCATTCTTCAATAGCTGTTTTCCTTGGGGATGCTATCTACTCAGTATAATTCAAATCCATCTGCCCTGTATGCAGCAACAATGTTTTCTCGCATTCTGAAGAAGTCTGTACAAAACTTTTCTGTTAATTACCAATGATAAATATGAACTATTATTGTATTCACTGTGCACGAATTACTCTTTTCTTGTCTCCCATCTAAGTTTGTTTATGTATTTGTCTTGTGAAGGTGATGACTTTGCTTTCATATTTTTATGTGATTTGGGCTTAGCCTTTGGCTGCCATGAAACCAGGCAGAAGAATCCTGGGATTGTTCTGCCTCGCTGCCCGCTCATATATTTGTTTGTGATTTTTTCACTGCGGTAGTTCCGATGGTGGTTAGCGGTGAATATCTTTTTACCGAATACTAACAGTCTGCCCCCATATCTTTCCATTCCTTTCCCCTCTTTCCATTCCTTTCCCCTCATCCTCCTTGGAGTAAAGGTGCAAATAAGGATTTTAACTTTGTACTTTTTTTTATTTAAGGATGTTAACTTTGTTAGTTTTTAAATAAGGATTTCAATTTTTAATTTTTTTCTAAATAAAGATGTTAACTTTGTCAATTTCTAAATAAGGATGTTAACTTTCAACATTTTCTATTTAAGGATGTCAACTTTCAACTTTCAACATCTGTTGATTAGGATACCATGGTGGATCAACCCAAACCAATGAAGATCGACAAAGAATGGGCACATGCTATCCACGAGTACAAGAAGAGTTGCCTTCTGATCGCCATGGAGAAGCTTGATGGGGTCCACATCTTCAAATGGATAATGATCCTTCCTTTGTTGACCAAGCCTATGGGCTCATTCAAAATTATACTCAATTGGTTGTCACTTATGTCCATAAAGGAGGTGAGGTCAATAGTGTTGGATGATGACAGGACATTCTTCAATAGGCCATTGTTCTTTTGTGGCCGTTAAAGGCTGGGCTATTTTTGGTGAGCCCAAAAGAGGGAAACAAGTTTGTGGGGGAAAGTGGGGTTTCTAAAGAAGTAATGAAAGGCTTAAATTATGGGATTAAAGAGAGTGTGGGCTATGCTACTAAGATGCTAAAGAGAAATGTAATCAGACTTAGTGATTTTAGGTTCTTTATTGGGTATTATGGGTGGGAGAAGGAGCAATTGAGTGAGGAAATTAGGACAGGGTATTGGACTATAGCAGCTTGTAGCCCAAGTGTGATTGGGCTTAGTAAGATAGGAAGTATTGGGCTTTAGGAGGGGATTCTTGGGCTAATGGGTCCTAAATAGGTCTGGTGAGGCAAAATTCATAATGTAAAAGAAGATTTGGGAGATGGGTGTTGGTATCTTCCCAAGTTCTTCCATATGTAATAGGAGAAGTTAAGAATTCTTATGTAATCATGCTTGTGCAATTTGTAAATTATATATTCTCTATAGATTATCATTATTATTATGGATTAGCATTTTTTTCAATAGTGAAGTTGAATTTATTGGTTCAAACTAGTGGGATAATGTCAAAATAGTGGCATATATTCTTGGAGCTTTCACTTTTAGAGTTGTCTTAACAATTAAAAACTCAAGCTTTTTAGATATGTCTTAATAGTTAAAAACTTAAAATTGCGTATTGAAGATCCCAACTTGGGAATTTGGCTTTCTCTTGTAATGTATGCTAGAAAACCATGTGGGACATAGGGTTGTGAATGATTGCATTCATTTTCCTTTTCATTGAAAATCTAAACAAGGTTTGAAATTTGTATTATAAATTCAAACACATAAAGGGTGTGTATGGCTCCCAAATGGGTAAGGTTTTTATTGCACATAATCGAGTACTATAAAGTAGAAATTTGTGCACATATTCCCATCACCTTCTACTATAATGGATTGTATCACCAAGGTTGAAAAATCCCTATTGCTGTATTTTAAATGTTGCCTTCTTTTGTTAGGTAGCAACTTAAGCATTTGGTTTTCCTAAATTGATTGAGGTCACATACCCAACAAGATATATTTATGATATGTCAAGATCATAACCAAAATAACAAAGCAAATTCATATCCAGTAGAAAAAACTAAAACAACCCATTCAATTCCAATGGTTGATTACTTTAAAGGTCGTTGCCAAACTAATTCCATCTCTCTAGTCCAATTAAAAGATATGTAAGGTTTGTTTCTTTTAAAAATAAAGATTTTTTTTTCAATTATGATGTCAAAAGTATAAAAAAAAAAAAGTAATAGAAAAAGACTAGCTTCTATGTAATTCGTGTATAAATTTAGTTGCAACTGCCTACTATACTTAAGTTTCACCAAACCTTTTACTTGGTCCCCGTCAATTAATGCCAACTTTACCATGTAGGAAGAAACCATCATAGTATAAGGCTAACCAATTTATGGACAAAGAGGGTACATACACACAGAATAGTGCTGTGTTTTAATGGAAGTACACATGACATGACCCCATTAGAAGAAAACCCCCCAAATCAGATGACATTTAAATCTTGTGTGCCCACCAATTTATTTAGTTTGAAAGCTAAGGCTCAAATCTTGAGATTGAATTCAAGCATAAGGAGTATGATTGATAATCATTTTGATTACACTTTTCTTTCCCCCTTTCCCTTTTCTTTCACTCTGTTCTTCTTTTAAATGCTTCATCTTTCAGATCATCATTCTATTCAAATTTACAGGCTTTTAAAAGTTGCTTTTGCTTGTGATTTGGAATCTTTGCCATTTCTTTTACTGGTGTTGAAATCATAGCAGGTTTTGCCTAAATGGTGATGGTTAATCATGAACCAAAACTGATCAAATAAATAAATAAAATAATTATAAACAAAAACACTATATCTTCCCATATGACATTATTAATTTATAATTATACATGACATGTCATTATATGATTAATTTTTTTATTTAAAAATTTATTTATAATATTATATGTATTTACTTATATAATAACATATCATAATTATAAATTTATAAGTTTATATGATATTATAATTATATCATTTCATTTTATATATAAATCAAAAGATTTTGCTTTGTACTATGTGCGTTTTACCACTTTTCACTTGCAAAAAATTTATTAATTAAACCAGGACTAGTATTATAAAGTTCACTTCATGAAGTAATTTGCCAATTCCCGCTTCATATAATACTGTCTCAAGCATAAACAAAGACTCAATATTGCTTAATTTTTAAATATATATATATATATATATATTTAATAGAAGAATACAATTAGGATTTTAGTTTTAATGGCTCTATGAAACCTTGATCCATGTCAAAAAATTGTCTGTTCTGACATGTTAACCCGTTAAATAATTAAGATAATTATATAATTTGGTTTATTTATACTATTAGGTTTAAGTTGTGTGTTAATGCTTGATTAATTGATAAAAACAAAAAAGGAAAAAGGAAAAAATCTTGCAAATTTAGAGTTAATAAGGAGGCAATGTTGGTTTCTATCAAAAAGGAAAAAAGAAATACAGAAATTAAAACAGAATATTCTGCAAAGAGGGTGATTACAAAGCTAATATGAAATTTGGTATTAATACCCAATGTATACATTAGATGTCAAGAAAGAAATGTCAAAAATTGGAATTAATATAATACAAGTTGATGAAGCAAGGGGAATCCTCAACATGGTGTGGAGATGTGGCTGCCATTATTCTTTATCTTTTATATTACTCCATGCCAACCATAGAGAAAATAAAGGCATCATATTGATTGAGAAAAAAAAAAAAAAAAACACGTTCTATTCCACTATAAAATATGAATATCTCTATTTAATATCTAAAACTCAAATCATGCTTACATTAAAAATATTTAAAAGTTTGCTTAGTTTAAAAAATAAAGGTGAGAACATTTTAATTTAGTTTATTAATTTTTTTTCCACACTCATTTCCCTTCAACCATTAGACTCTAATTAAATCTCTAATTTTTTTTTTCTCCAACAATTGCGATGTTCAAATTGTCATCTGCGTAATGGACTTGAAAAGTATTTTTTAATAAACTGAAATTTTACAATATAACAAAACATAGATTTTGCTTATAGTATTAATTTTTCTTTTATTGTTATAAAATTTTATTGTAAATAACTTATTTTTTTAATAAAAATTATCAGCTCATATAGAAGATAAAATTACTAAAAAAAATAATGTAATAACAATTTAATGAGTTAAATTATGTTAATAATTTAAGTAATTTAATAATAATTTTTTTAATAAAAATAAAATATTTTAAACTTAATTCATATTACATGCAGTAAGGTAACTGAAGCGGTAAAAGGAAATTGTTTTCATGTAACTCCAATATCCAAAAAAAAAAAATCCAATGACCCATTGCTTTCATGTTCACTGCAAAGCGTCAATATTTTAGATAACTCGAAGTACTAGTAATTATTTATTAAATACTCTTTACATGCAAAATGCAGGTGAGTTCTTAATCCACGCGTCTCCAGTCAACGTGACGAACCGAATCCCAGGATTGGTCGATTGCTGCTGATTCAGAAAAAACACAACACATCTGTTGGCGACTGGTGTTCATGTCTGAGAACTGCGCGTGGGAATGACATTCTTACAGCTTAGAAGAAGGACGGTAGTATCTAAATTGAAGGAGTGTGGAGCCAACCACTTTTATATGTAACTTGTTTCAGTTGTTAGTTTGAGTAAACCCAGGTGGGGTGTCTGAATTTTTCTTAAAAAGAAATAAATATTTAGGTGTGTACTGTGTACCTAAAAGGCAGGAAGGTGGAGAGAATCTAGAAAATGTGAAAAAAAAAAAAAAAATGTCCCAGAAAAAAAAAATCCCAGAAAATTGGGATTGAAATAATTTAATTAGAAAATAAATCACTGAAGCCATAGAGGGAGACCACAAGTTGACAAATTTTGAGTCATTGTTTTGTTGGGTGGAGGGGTGGGGGGACTTTCTGCTTTGTGTGGAGAAAGATCTCTTCTCTTATCTGGGATGTGGGGATCTCTCTATTTTCTCACCAGACACTGGCCCAGCAGATCTGAATTTCCATTTTAAATTTTGTCTGGGGATGATCATGATTTGAGTTTCCTTGAATGGGATTTTGATTGTGTTCTCTAGGTGGTTTGTGTTTTTGTTTCATTTGGATCATGGGTTGTTCTGCGTTTTGGGTGCTTCTTCTTTTTTGGAACTGGGAATTCGCAGGGATGCAGATGGATTCTGGTTTGTTGTCTTGTTGTGGGGAGTTCGGTCAGCTTGCAGGCCAGTTTCGATGAAGCGGTGGTGGAGGATTGAATTATGAGGTAAAATTTTTATTCTTTTTCTTTATGATTTGTTTCTCCTATCCATTAAATCTCTTTCTTCTAATCAACTTTTTTTTTTTTTTTTAAATAATATATATATAAATTTTTAAAGCTTAGATGTTAAGGTTGTTGACTGTAAAATTCTCTTCTTTTCTAGTATTTAAGTTGTTGGGTTCAACATTAGTGTTCATTTAGATACTTGGTATTTTCTTCTGGGATCACAGTTTCTGTATCTGCATTTCTGATTCGTTGAGCACTTTATGTTCTATGGATATTAATTGTCCACAATCTTGGGTTGAAATGTTTTTATTCTTTTAATTTCGACCCTTTTGATTTTAGTATCAGTAAAACAACTAACCAATCTTCAGTTGTTTACCATGATTTTACAGTTTTTTTTCTTCTATTACACATCACACTCTTCTAAGGCAACTGATCATTGAAAAAATGGAAGAGAAATTCTATAATTGTTTGACAGAATACCATACAGGCATCCTAGTTGGATTTGGTGTGTCTTGTGATGCCTTCTATGACTAGAAGCTAAAAATCTGGTGACTCTGATGCTTCATGCAGCTTGCCGTTGGACATAGGAGTAGAAGTGAGTAATTGAAACAGGAAGTTGTATGGTTGCAGCATGTAGTTGATGTTTATATTTAGGTAGCCATTACTGAGTGAACTAAATATGTTTGATGAATTTCTTAGACTTCTCTCCATCTTCCCTTGCAAATAAGTATGTATGTGTGAACTTGGCTGAAGAATGTAATGTCAAGTACAATCAGGGAAGGATCTTATATGAAGATGTATCAAATTCATGATGTTGACATAAAAAATTTTTAAAAAAAGGGACAATCATGTTAACATTTATAATTTTTCCTTTTCCTCAAAGAGAACCTTGTCTTATCACATGTTTATAATGCTATGCATTTCCTTTTCTTGATGCTAGTTTAACCATGAGTCATTAACTAGAGGTTGATTAATGAGTTGGGATTAGATATACCTACAAAGATAGGAGCCTCTAAGATACCTGGATTTTCGAGGTTTGGTGCACCAAAGTTGTCTGCATTTTGTATAAGATTACATTGTGAAAGGATTAATATTGAACCTTGATGATAATAATGTACTCTTAGATTATCTTGAATAATGAGTGCTTTCTCTGCTGATTTTTCACCAATTACTCTGATAGATACCGTTTTGATTTCTCACTGAAAATTGATCTTAAGTTACCTTTTTCTGGCAAGTTATTCACTGTGTTTTTTTGAGTTACTTGCAGGAATGGGAACTGAAGTACAGTCTAAGATGCATCTTCCTGGATATTATTCCTTGAGGGATCTTAGTGGTGATACTGGCAAGGTGAGTTGGCCGTTACATCATGAAAAAAAAAACTTTGAGCCATTCAATAACTTGTTCTTGACAAGGCCAGCCATAGATATTGGATGCGATATGGAACAATTGAGGGAAACTATACTGAAGCATGAATCTATATTCAGGCATCAGGTATGTTCTCTGTTAGCTTTGTTAAGGTATTTCTTGAACTATCCCTGCAGTTCTCTATCAGTGAAATTATTATTTTAATTTTTTTCCCAGCTCCATGAACTTCATCGTCTTTACAGAATACAAAGAGAGATGATGAATGAAATGAAAAGTGAAGAACTAAACAAACATTTGCTTAATGTGGGTACATCACAATCTAGTCCTTTTTCATCTGGCTTACTGTTTCAAGATGAACAAAAGAGTCATGTCTTGGAGTCACGGATGTTGGACTTGAATTGCAGTGGACCATATACATCTGGGGCTGACAGTATCCAGTCCCAATTTAGTTCTTTGAAAGAGAAATTTTTGCAATCTGGTTGTGGTTCTTCACAAAATGGATTGAAATTGAAAAATGGTGAATCCCTTGAATCCCAATACAAGAAGGTTCAGAGAAGATTGTTTGACCTTGAATGTCCTGCTGATGAATGTATAAGCCACAAAGAGGGAAATCTTGGTGTTTCTGCAATGTCAGGAGTGGAAAATTATGTTTCTAAAAGGACTTTTGATGTTCCTAATCAAAGGGAGGGAAAGTTGTCCTTTCATAATGGTAGCAGCTATAATTGTAATGGTGATGCTAGCAATTCCAATTTGTGTTTACAGGGAACCCATGGTTTTGCCAACTTGAATGGACCTCCCCAAGCTGAGGAGGCACAGAGGCAGCATGTATCTACAATGTCACAATTAGGCTTCCAATGTTTGGTAACAGAATTCTCCCAGAACTCCCATAAGGGAAGAGAGGAAGGTATTGGTCTTCAGCATCTGCAGACTGAGATTGAAAGGAGGCAGAAAGGATGGTTATCTTATAGTGCTGAAAATGGTAAGGACTTGAGTAATGCTTATTAGATCTCTTTCCTTTTCCTCTTATGACCAAATTTGAGTCAACTTTAGTAGCTACACCGTTAACCTTTTAGCAATATCAGTCTTCTCATTTCTGCTCAATGTAATGGCAATATGAGAGAAAAATAGTGTCTCTAGTTATTGTCTTGCATTATTATTTAATTGAATCTTATGTTTGATATGGCTTCCTTTTAGGTCACCCTAGGAGCACTAGTTCTTTCTGTGGAAGTTTTCATCCTGAAGAGTTGCATAAACAACCCAAATCAGTGCAAGTTGAAACCTCAAAGGTCCACCCTTTAAAGACAGAAACATCGGCAAAGAGGAAAATTTTTGGTGTGGAAATTTCTGAAAGGAGTAATGATACATCTGTTGCAGCTTCAGTCGTACTTAATGGTACATCAGCTTCTGCCTCACATTCCCTTGATCAGCTAGCAAATGGTCTGGAGTCAGATGCAACAAATTCCAAGATATTCTCTGTTTCAACTTGGAAAAAGTTTCCCAGTAGCTGGAGCCAGAATCTTTCGGGAAACCCTGGCTATAGTACCTTGGATCAAATCAATAGTAGGTCTATAACATCGATGCAGGATCATAGAGTAGCTGAGGGAAAACTGCTTGCTCAAAGTGATTCAAGATCTGCCCCCAGTTTAAGGACGGACAGATTGTACAACAATGGCCTTTACTTTGGCGCTCCATCTGAGTCCAAGGAATCACGAGTTTGCTGCCCATCAGTTGGCTTCAGCAACCAAAATGGCACCACAGCGTTGGAAGAAAAGGTTCAACATGCTTCTAGAAATAATTTTAAGGGTTTAGGCTCCACAGTGGAGGCAAAGTCGGGGGTAGATCTTAATATGGATGCATTGCCTGTGAATGGTTATCAGTATGAATCAATTTCTCACTTAAATATAAATGGGGTAGAAAAGCAGGAGAATCACCATGCAGGGTTATCTTGGTTAAGAGCCTCTCCGCTATCTAATGGCAAAGCTACTAAAGAAACAGAAGTTTACTGTCAGAGTGAGATGAAGAAGGGACACCACCAAAGTTCTATCCAAGATTCATCGTCAGCAACTAGTATAAGTGACACTGATCTCCAGAGGAGGGAAGCTAATTACCATTCAAGCAATAAGAAGATTCTTGGATTTCCCATTTTTGAAAATAAATCTAAGGATATGCCGTCTTTGAGTTCTCCGCTGAAGTTGACCATTTCAGCTTCAGCCAACGTTTCTGATCCTCTGCCACCGGAATCTGGAGGATGTCCAATGAAGGGTCTAGTTGCAGGGAGAGGAGTAACTAATCAGAATGCTGATATGAGACCACAAATTGATTTGAATTTGTGTATTGCTGAAGAAGGGATTGAAGAAGATGCTCAACCTCCATCCTCATCTCCAAAAACCAATATGAGGGTCGCAGCTGTGATAGATTTGGAGGTACCAGCTACCATTGAAACAGAAACAGAAACTACTTCTGGTTATGAGTCTCCTGAAAGTAAACTCAAGAAACCCTTTAACTCATCACAAGATGAATCTGATGAGTCTCAAAGACTTGCCGTTGCTTCTGCAGCAGCTGAAGCACTAGTGGGCTTATCTTCATCCAGAATTTATAATCAGGTGGACAATGCCCCTTGTCAACAACTGAATACTCCAGCAGGTGATTCCCTTCATTGGTTTGCTGAGATAATTTCTTCTTATGCTGGTGACAGTGAGAATGATGTTGGATCAGCTTCTATGGGTAAGGATGGGACCTATTGTGAAGAGTACATTCCTTATGGACTTGATTATTTTGAGTTCATGACATTAAATTTAACAGAAACCAAAGTAGAAGAATGCCATAATATGTCTCAGGTTCTGGAAAACCAAAAAAGTGAAAAATCATTTGCAAGACGACCTCGTAGAGGACAGGCAAAGAGAGGGAGGCAGCGCAAGGACTTTCAAAGAGACGTACTTCCCAATCTTACTTCTCTCTCAAAAAATGAGGTGACTCACGATCTTCAGAAAATAGAAGGTCTCATTCAAGCTAGTGGTGGGAACTGGCAGTCAAGTTTGACACAGAAGAACAATGCTAAGAGCATTTCAGGAAGGGGAAGGAAGCGGTCAGCGGCATCTGCTCCTCCCAGCTCCAATGCACCATGCTTAAACATTGTTAAGCAAGCAGAAGCAGTAATTCCAGAGGGAAGCATAACAGGATGGGGAAAGAGGACCAGGCGTCCCCCACGGCAGAGATGCCCCATTGCCATTAATAATCCTCCTCTACCTGTAAAATAAGGCCTCGTTTGCCATATCAGATTCCAACTGGAAGAGTTTCTCCCGCCTCCTTCTAATTTCTAGACTTTAGTCAGATTTTCCAATCCGGAGGAGACCCATGTTGTAATTTTTTTTCCTTTTTCGTAATCATAATTAGTTTCTTCTTGTTCTTCGGAATCCTGATTCCTAAGTGACTTGCATAGTTTCTCATAATAAGCTGTTTTCTTCCTTTATTTAGTTGAAGAAGAACTGGAAATTCAGTGGGATGTAACATAGTCCAAAGGAGTGGTTTGAGAATTTGCAAAAACCTTGACTTTATTATTATTATTTTTTCATATGAAAACCTTGACTTTATTAAGATTTACTATTTCTAGCTTTTTTTTTCCCCTTTCCTTTGAAATTAAATCCTTAATCCGTTGCTTTTATTTTTATCTTTAATAACCTTTATCGTCTTTTCCCAGAACAATGCTGGAAAGCTGTGAAATTTCTCGGATCAAGTCCAAAGGAGTAAATTCCTACCATTTGACCATCAGCTATGGTCTGATAAAGTTACTTGTGCCATAAGTTTAGAGTTGAATTTTTAATTTTTATGCACCAATAAAAAATTCCTACCTCTAGATCTCCTATATTAAAATTTAGCTTTTGACATCAGGAATTTAGTGCGGTTGTCCTTGAGACAAGTCGATATGTATCATCAATCATATCTCAAAGTTGGTTTGTTTCCCTTTTTTCCTTTTTTTTTTAAACAATGTTTTATGTTCACTCTCTCAATGCATACCCAATTCAGAGAATTTCGCTTCTTACTTGCAGAACTGTGCTGATGTTTCCTTGAGAAAGACCAATGCTTGCATCTTCACTAGCAGGCTCGGTGATGTTAAAATTTTGAGGTAAGAAGAAGGGGTAGAGAGAGGACTTGGAGGAGAGTAGGAGAAGAGTAGAACTTACAACATGTTGGACAATTGGGGGTTAGAAAATAGATCATTGGCTTCAGGGCATGATGCAAATGCTACTTTGCTTTAGATTAATTTCATCTCCATCAGATCTGATATACAAAAAAGGTAACTTAAAATGTTCATAGAATACAATGAAATGCCTTGTTAATCTTGCCTTTGCACTAGCAAAATCAACCATTGAACCGTTTTTTAGAAAGCGACAAAACAATAGTTTTTTAGAAAGTGACAAAATAATAGTTTTTGTATAGGAATTTTTACAGCAATTACAGTACAAAAAGGAATTGTTTTATTTAGATAATAGTAAGGATTTTTCTATGTTGAAGAGACTCATGAAGAAGAATAGATAACTCCATATTTATAGAAGAAAAATGTATGTTGGAAACAAACACTAATTCTCAATTCTATTCATTGGAAACTCTTCCAAAAGTCATTTGATTTGATTTGAATTCCAATTCATGTGTTTCCTTGTCTTCTAAAGTTATTCACTGTCCTTTAAGAATTTTATCATAATTTTATCTTTTATTTCTGACGTAAATAATTCAAATCATATAAATGTGATTCAAACCAAAATTGTACTTTTTAAATTCTAATTTTACGTAATCAGTTCAAACCATATTTATATGGTTCGAACTTAAATCACACCCTCTCAACTGTATTCTGTGCAATTACTTCAAACTAATTTTTTGTGATTCGAACTCAAATCATAAAACTATTTTGAAAATTTACAACACAACATAAATCTGACATAGCTATAAAAGGGTGCAAACATTCACCCAACTAGACCTGGCAAATAGGTCAGATTGGGTCGGTTCAGATTGGATCATTTTGAATCCCGAATTGTCCGAATTAGGTCATTTCAAGTGTCAGGTTAAGGAGGTTGACCCATGACCCATCCACAAGGATTTCGGATTTGATCAAGTGAACCCAACTTTTAAAAAATTAAAATTAAAATTAAAATTTTTCTAAATTTTTCTATATTTTTCTATATTTTTCTTTAACAAAATCTAATACTAATTAACTATTTAGTTAAAAAAACTTTATTATTAATTAACTATTTAATTAGAAAAACTTTATTATTAATTAACTATTTAATTAGAAAACTTTATTAAATATTAATTGTCATTTCATAATTCAATTTTTTTCCAATCTCAAGGAAAGGAAAAGATTAGTAATTATATAGGTGGAACTAAAATATATATAAAAAATATATAATATCTATACAATATTTACAATTCATAATTTTATAAATGTATTAACTTCATTAAAAAAAAAGACATGAAGGGATAGAGTTTAAAAGACAAATCCAATATATATATAGAGTTCAAAAGACAAATCCAATATATATTAATATCTAGTGCCTATTCAATATTTATAATAGTAATATATAAAAAATACAATTCTATTCAATATTTAAAAGAACATTATACAAAAAATATAATCATATTCAATATTAAAGTTTAAAAGGCAAATCCAAAATATATCTAACCAAATACAAGAAGAAATTGTATCGGAATTGATTTTTTTAATTAGGAACAAATTAGTAACTAAGAACAGATCTTGATGTTCTTGATAGTCTTGTCTTTGTACTTTTAATGATTATGATGGTACCTTAACCACT